AGTACCCGCGAGTACTGTTCCCAAGGCAAGGGGGGAAAAAAAAAATTAAGTTACTGTTAATGTGAACAGTACCCGCGGGAATAGTACTCGGGTACTATTCCCAAGGCAAGGGGAAAAAAAATAGTATTTACTGTTCATGTGAACAGTACCACGGGAATTGTGATACCCCTTAGATCCGAAACACGGGTTCATCAAGCTCAGGCCCAAACCCAAGGGAATATCTAACAATTAATATTTAATGAACACAGAATACAAATTGAAATAATAAGAAATAAATAATAAATGGCTGCAATGAATTCTAATGGAAAATCCTCAAAATATAATTATTAAAATCCAAATTCCAAAATAACTTCATAAAGTTAACAACTCGAGAATCCCTCAAATGGACCCCTAATAATAATAAAATCTCAAACTAGAAAGGAAAGAAAAACTGTAATCCAAAACCAAAGCTAATAAGAAGCAGTCATACGTAGTTGGTGGATTGGAAGTCTGTATCTACTCTGCACGACCAAGCTCTAACCCTGGAACTGACGAGCACCTGAAAAATAAGAGAGTGGGTCAGGCCCACACGCAAGTCCCGTTCTACTACGATCCATACAGAAACCCGATACGCAGATACATCCTAGATAGACTCAATAATATCTAGAGTAGTCCATATATGTATAAGTACACATTATAGGACGCTCACTAGTCCAATAGGTCTATCTCAGCCTGAGTAGAGATACCATGCAAATCGCACATAATGTGGTCATGTGTATCTAAACCTACCAGGGAACAACACATCTGTCCAGCCATCCATCCTAGGCGATATACGCACCCTAACCATGGCCCTGAGACTCAAACTCATACCATGATACCATATCATATATATCTATAAAGTCCGTATCCTCCTAATACAAAATATCACCCATTTAGTATAGTGGTTTGATATATGTATAACAATCCATCCCAGAAACCAAATTATATCATTAAGATATTTACTGACTTGACACCAATAGGAGTTGGACACATTTATGGTTAATTCACACCTTAATCCATTTTAGGTAGGACTTAGTATTGAACTAATTCTTCCCTAGTATGCCACCGTCCCATACCGGTGCATACAGTCCTCCAATCCACATAATTGATAAAAAAACAACATTAATTAATTCATCAACAGTTCTCTGAAATATGCATCAGTATAGTTTAATACATATATAATGACATTAGATATTCACCACAGAACCTAACAGTCATGCTCCAACTATTTAAACTGCTAAAATAAATCATGGCGTTTAAATTCTCCAAAACAGCCTTTAAATTGATACAATTACAACAATTTAAGTATCAATTACAATCCAAACTAAGTAAGGTTAATTATAGTTAATTCACCATATTTATAACACTGTAAAAATATATGATTATATATATAATTAGATCATATATATATATAATTAGATCATATATAAAACCTTACCAAGTTCCAGTAAATAAAACTAACAAAACAGTGTGCAACCTACCAGTTTTTCCCTTAGGCTTTTCTTACTCTATTCTTTAGTCCAATTATGAATTTATGTTTTTTCCATCATAATACCAGTCTAATACGGTCCTAAGCACCACTTAACACAGTTTAAACGAAGTGCAGACACCCCGTGTAGCCCAAACAAGCCCCTAAAATCAATTATGTAGCGTTTAAGGAGAGAGTAGGCTCTCTCAAAATTGAGAGCCTGCTCTAGGGCTCTAAGAGCTGGCCCTAGAGCATCCAGAGCCGGCTCCACTTCCTTGGGAGCCAAGTGGAGCCAGCTCTAAGGGTTTGGGAGCCGGCTCCCTCACCTGTTGGAGTCTGCTCTCTTCCCTTTAAATGCCGTCGTCCGTTTTCCCTTCGTCTTCTTCGACTCCTGTGATTTCCAGGCCCTGTAATGTTTTTAAATCCTTATTCTATTGTTCATTTAACATTCCAGATTAATCACACGGCATACATATACATCATTGATCTCAATTAAACAAAACTGAAACACGTATACAGAAAGAACCAATTAACAAAAACTCTAAGGATTTGCAAAACAGTTTCATTCAACGATATTAAATAAACATCAAGTAAGCATAACAGATTGTTTAAGCATTCATTACATCCCTGGAGTCCACCTAAGCATGCACAAAACACGAGTTCATTTAGAAAGAATAGAACAGAAACTTGCCTTGAGTTTCAGTCTTGAAACTCTAATCCACCGTCTCTGAATTTTTCGACGAAATTCCATACTGATGTTCCACCTCTGTTGCTCTTGGTTTCACCTACGAGCAACATCTCCTTCCTCCTCCTTGGTCCAACTTAGCCTTCCTCTCCTATCTCTCTCTGTATCTCACTGTCTCTCTGTTTTATAGAACTATTCTTACGTTTTCTAAAATCCTAAACCACCGTAATGTGTATATGCATAAGCTTAAAACACTAAACTCTAATCCTTGTTTACTTAGAGCTAGAGCCCTAATGTAAAATCCTAGTCGGCCCATAGATAGAATACCCTAAGTTAATCCATACCCGCTACACATACTGACTTCTTAGAGAACCCTAGGTAATTAACGTATTGTTTTTTTTAAAAAAAAAAAACTCATTCAACTTATTTTACATAATTAAATAATTACATCAAATAATTTAAGGCAATTAAATCAAAGAATGCAATTAAATCAAATAAGCTAATTAGTTCAAATAATTAATTAAATCAATTAATTCAAGTAATCAATTAAATCAAATAAGAACAATTAACTCAAATAACCAAGCAACAAAACAATTAAATAATAAAAAAATGCACCAAAATACTAAATTAAAATACCAGGGCTACTCTTTTAAAATTAGGGGTATTACAGGAATATTACCCGCGGCAATTGTTCCCAAGGAAGAAAAAAAAATTAATTAATTACATTCCCAAAGCTAGACGAGCAAACTTGGGAATGGGAGGCAATTAATAGAGAAAATAAACTTAACCTATCTTGACCTAACGATAGATGCAACTAAGTGTTGACCAGATGTCAAATTTCTTCTACTTTCGAAAGATAATATTTCGTTATCAAGGATAACGATTTCCATTGGATAAATTCCATGGGATAATGAAAAATCTTATCAAGGATAAAATTTTCATGGGATAAGTTCCATGAGATAAGGATTATGATATTCCTTCATCAAGAATAAGGGAAGTGACGATAAATAGGAAGACGATTCGGGAATAAAGTACAGCGAAAAAACTATTATTAAATCCCTGCCTTCTTTTTAGACCTCCGGTGAGTAACTTGATCATCGAAGATCTCTTGGCAGACACTACACCGGTGCTATCAAGGTTCATCGATCTTCTCTTCTCTTTTTTATAGGAAAATGGTGTCGTATCGGACCGCGTGAATTTCACCCTCAACAGAATTAATTAAAAGAGTTCTCTTATTATAAGAGTTATGAACTCTCCACATTTAACCATTAAATTAAAATATTTTTTTAAAATTTATAAAAAATTAAATGAATCATTTAATATATTTTTTAATTCAGTGATTAAATATGTAATAGATCTCGTGGCTCTGGTTATGAGTGAGCTTTTTTAATGACACTATTTAATTTGTATAACAAAATATAAAAAATCTATCATTTGGCCCACTAAAAATTATAAATAAAAAAAAAATAAAATTAAAGCAACGACTTAATTCGCCTAATGAAATTTGTTCTGAAAAGATACATATGTTACATATAGTGATGATATAAACCATAAACACTGCGTCGTAAAGCAATCAAATTTTATCGTGTATAAGACTGCCCACATTCACAATTATAGTCATGTCAACATTTTTAAATGATGTGACCTTTTTTTATATTTGTGGCAAGCCTCCGTATGGTAATGGTTGGGTTAATTATTCCGAAATATTTAAAAGTTTTTAAAGAGAGAAAGGATATAGTGAGAGAGAAAAGGAGAAAAATTATGCTGGGGTCCCAAAAAAATGGCAGTCATTGCCGCATAACTCGCCCTTTCCCGTGAGTCTGCAAAAAAAAATTTTGACTTCGGCTTGCCTGTTGGGCGAGCCCCACACCAACGGCCAAGGCTTATTACAATGCTTTTGATCGATATGGCAAAATACTTTGTCCTCTCCTTTGTGCAGGATTTCGCCTTTTCTTAAAAAAGAATTTTGGTCGGATATCAAGTTGGTAGGTGTGTAGGACCTCTCATTTTTTTTTAAAATTCTTATCCTTTTCAAATTGCACTATAATCACTAGAGACCTTAATTTAAGTTGTTTAAAACGTAACAAAAATGCATTTTCAAGTATGGAATTCTGAGTAAACATACAATTTAGAAAGAAAAAAGTAAAAAATGCAATTTCAAAGTATGGAATATTGAGTAAACATACAATTTAGAAAGAAAAAAGTAAAAATTCAATGTCCAATTAATGCACGAAAAAAAGGCAGATTAAGTAAATAGTTGCAGTTATGCTAAAATTTACTCAAAGTGGCAAACTGCCTTTGTTACTCTTTTATCCGTGTAATAAAAGTGGTGCATTTACACATTATAAAAGTAATTGTTTAACATACGCAAAGTGGTGCACATACGCGAATTGCATAAGAGATTTGGTCTATCTAGTTTTGATGACAAAGTGGTTTTTTTACGAAACTGTCAATATTTATTTTAACTAACTTCACACTCTTGTTAGTATTAAATTTTGAGTAGCACGTTCTCTCCGTGCATTTAGCAAAATATGCGACGATCTCATATATATGCAGATATTTAATACTGTACTTAACATTTATTTTCCTATTTGTTCATGTCTAGTTAGTAATTAAATTGAAGAAAGAAAATCTGAGGTAAGAAACCCTTTCGTCTAAATTTCTCCTATCCTAAACCGTACCTCAAAAGTCATGGAGATTTCTGTCACCCCCTACAAATATGCTAATTTCATCACTTCAACACCTCATATCATTCTATTAATTTTAATATATATATATATATATATATATATATATATATATTTTCTTTCTTACAAAAAGAAACATATAATGGCTCTTCAAAAACATCTCCTCTCATTCGTAGTCATTCTTCTCTCATCTCTTTCATGTTACACCACTGTTCATGGGGATCCACCCCATAATTATGATCGGGCATACCCTTTATTTTTTGGCCCCATTGACGATGGTACGTTTGAGAACTCTATCAACCTTGAGCACACCAACTTTAGGTTGAAGAAGGTTGATGAAGTGCGTAGTCTTAGAGCTTCAGTTAAGACAGTTAGTGTAGATGATTTTGGAGCTAAAGGTGATGGCAAAACAGATGACACAGAGGTAAGCTTCATCTTAAGGCCATTAATTGTGGTTTAATTGGTAAGCTTGATTGTTGCCAATGTGTAAAAGAATAAATTCAAATGGTGTCACTACGGCAATTTATGGTACTTGTTATACAAGACCATTTAGAGGAAAGCAAAAGATTGTTTAAAGTTTTTTTTATCCCTTTGATGCAGTTGATAAGGCCCATATATACTTAAGTTTTTCCATGTCATCAAATTAAGGATAATAGGTTTGAAAAATAGGCTTAAGTATCATTACTAGTAAATTTTTAATAATGTGATTTTTAACAAAGTTAATTTAATGGCCATATATGTAACTATCCTTTCAGGCATTTAAAAAGGCTTGGGAAGTAGCTTGTTCATCATCTACAATAGCTGTTTTTGTGGTGCCCGAGAACAAAAATTATCTTGTCAAGCCGGTTACATTCTCAGGGCCTTGCAATTCTGTTCTTACAATGCAGGTTAGATATCAAACATATAAGAGAAGATTCCTAGCTTCTTCAAAGCAAGCTTCAAGAAAATCATCATGTGTACGTATTTGTGTATATATACACAATAAGTAATTATATATTTGTGTATTTTGAAAAAATCAGGTCTATGGAATCATTAAAGCATCTGATTATCAATCCGACTACAACGAAGACGGAAGACACTGGCTTCTATTTGACAATGTTCAGAATCTAATGGTTGAAGGTGGTGGGATAATCAATGGAAATGGGGATATATGGTGGAAAAACTCTTGCAAAATCAATAAAGAACTTGTAAGCCTCAACAAAAAAACTTCACTTAAAACATTTCTTTGATTTTTTTTTTTTTCTCTTTTCCACGTTTTTTACGGTCCTAATCATTGGCTTTGACTTTTATGCAGCCATGCAAAATTGCACCAACGGTATGTTAATGTCTTTATCATAGCAATTTATTTATATTAGCATAACAATTATGTATAAATATATATTCTCTTAAATCGACTATTTTCATTTGGCAGGCGTTAACCTTCTACAACTGCAAGAACCTGACACTGAAAAATCTGAGGATACAAGATGCACAACAAATTCATGTTTCGTTTGAGAAATGTGTGAATGTTGGAGCTTTTAGTCTCACGGTCACTGCACCAAAGGGAAGCCCTAATACTGATGGAATTCATGTTGCAAACACTCTAAACATCCATATTAAAAGATGTGTTATAGGGACAGGTACACTTAAGACATAAGTGAAATAATTAAATTTAACATCATCAATTACACTTCTAATTGATAAAGTTCCTAATTAATTAATGTCTTTAAAGGCGATGATTGTATTTCTATTGTGAATGGGTCCAAGCTGGTGAATGTCACGGATATTACTTGTGGACCAGGTCATGGTATCAGGTCTTACATTCAAACCTCTAACTAGTTTTTGTACATATTAATAATTTTATGTGAAATGTTTTGAGATCTTTTGACAATGTGCATAGATTAAAGTAATGTTTTATTTTATTATGAAATTTTTTTTTTTTTTTTGAATACATGGTGAGCTCGATCGGTATTGGAAGCTTAGGAGCTGGAGGTGCAGAAGCTTATGTTTCAGATGTGACAGTAAATGGAGCTAATCTTACCGGAACTACAAATGGAGTCAGGATCAAGACATGGCAGGTAAGATACAGTCTTTCAATGACATGAATATGCCTGCTTATATTATATCTAAATTAACATAATTTCATTTCAAAATATATATAAAAAAATAAAAAAAAAGTTTACAAAACTACAAATTAATAACACATTCTAACACAAGCATGTTCATAATATAATTATCATTAAAATAATAGATAGAGTAGGTGGAAGAAAATTGTATAATGGAACAAAAATAAAATTTGTCACTTGAATCTCACAAATTCAAGAACTTAGCTAGGGGGCATATTTGTTAATTAGGAGGGTATTTTGTCAAATTTTAAAACTTAATATATAAAATAAAATTAAATTAAAGACACAAAATTAGGGGGGCAGCTGCCCCTTGTCTAAAATATAATTTTATAATTCAAGTATACACACCTTAAACTTTATAGTTATAGGTGTTGATCAGGTGTGGTTGTCTATAAATATGCATGCATGCATACATATATTTTTTTGTAATGTAATTAATCAACATCTATTATGTCTTAATTACACAGGAAGGATCAGGAAGGGCACGCAACATTAAGTTTCAGAATATCCAAATGAATAGTGTGTACAACCCTATAATCATAAACCAGAACTACTGTGATCCATGCAAAGATCGGGTTAGTATATATTCCTAACCCATTAATTAATTAATTACAACTACATTAATTATCAAAGCAACACCAACCATTGATTTTACTAATGCAAAATATATATATATATATATATATATATATATATATATATATATATATATTTGATGCATTGGCTTGACAGAGAACGGTTGTTGAAGTGAAGGATGTGGTGTACCAGAATATAAAAGGCACAAGTGCTTCTGAAGTGGCTATAACATTTAATTGCTGTAGCAGTGTTCCATGTCAAGGGATTTTGTTGCAAAATGTCAACATAAAAGGTGACAAAGGTGAAACAACCAAAGCCATATGCAACAATGTCAACTTCAATGACATTGGAGTCGTTTCGCCAAAATGCCCTTAAGAATAAGAAGCTATATAAGATATATATATATATATATATGAAATTTACTGTATTAATTGGTCGGTTATGGCAGAAAAATATATGAATTATATGTTAGAAATACAGAACTTTATAATAAAAAATAATAATTTTAGAATAATTGATGTACATATAGATATGAATGTTTAGATACATATGATTGGTCATATATATATATAGGGGGAAGTGTAGAAAACATCCCTGAAACATACTTTTCGTAATATTTTTACGCCCTATTTAAAAAAGTGTGCAATAAACACCCATAATCCTTTAAAATTATGCAAAATTACCTCGTTGTGCAATAAACACCCCTAAATTATTGTTGTAATATCCATTTTACCCTTTTAATCTTCCAAAAATGTCCAAGGGGATAAATATGCTACTAATATCATACTATAGGGGTGTTATGTGTACATTACCTTATATATATATTTTTTTAATAAAATTTTTCACTATATATTACTTCCCTATAGCATTTCTCAGCACTGTATCTTTCTATATTTCTCTCTTTTATATGAAATCTTCAACCTCTTCAACCTCAAAAGGCCATTCTTAATCTCAAAAAGCCATTCTTACTCATACAGAAGAGCTTTGAAAGATTGTTATTGCCATTGTTAAGTTGAAAGTCCTTTGAAGATTTGAAATCCATATGGAAGAGCTTTGAAAGATTGTTATTGCCATTGTTAAGTTGAAAGTCCTTTGAAGATTTGAAATCCATATGGCTCCTAACCTAGAACAAGAAATCTGATTGTGCAAGAATGTGCTGTGGTTCGTTTGGCATTTTTTTACCTTGGCTTCTTAACCTGTATTATATTTCTCAAAATAGTGATGTGAATCTGTTATTTGAGTTCCTGGAGGAAATCTATTCACGTAATATTACATTCAACTTTAATGCTCCAACCATATGAATGAATAATTTTTTTTTTTTTTTTTTTTTTCCTGAAGTTCATATGAATGAATATTTGTCATCACTAAACATTCACTTATAGTAATGCATTCACTTAACCTGTCATTCATCAAACCATTCAATAAGTGCAAACCCAATTTCACCTTCAGCAAATACACCAATTTCAGTAAAATAAAAACCCAGTAATACAAGTGAATACCTTACTGACAAAGAATCAAGCATTCACTAAACAAAAAGTAAAGCCGTGATACATCAACCATCATCCTAAACAAAACCCAGTTTTAACCTTCCGCAAAGCCACTTTCAAATGAAGGCTTTTCAGCATGCCTTGAACTTCAAAATACGACATTGTATCAGGGTCCACAGTATACATTATCAAACAACTGCAAGTCACCTCTAACATACTTGTTATGCTTATCGAAATTGCCTAAATGATGGAGATGAATTAAATGACTTGTCTCCATCTACTAAATAGTTACAAAATACACAACACCACTAAGAATGAATGAGTAAAAATATGAAACTATCCATGCATATCAGAGCGGGATATATATATCCGTCATACAATATGCATGGCATTGACACAAAAAAAATTTGGTCAATATATATGTAATACCCCTAATTTTAAAAGGATAGTCTCGGTATTTATTTATTTATTTTTATTATATTTTTTTAATTGTTTAATTGATTATTTGACTAATTGTTTATGTGTTTAATTGAATTAAATGTTACTTGATTAATTGGCTACTTATTTATGTGTTATTTGTATTTTGTCTAGGTGTTATTTGTATTATTTGTTTAATTAGATTGTGTGCTTAAATGATGCATTTGATTAATTGTAATTAATTGTAAATTAAATGATTAAATGTTTTATTTTATTTTATTTTATGGTTATGGTTAGTGGTAATGGGCTAACTAATTAGGTCCCATGGACTACTTGGATAGGAGGTTGGATGGGTATGGATAATTACCCAAGGATAGTTCTATATGTATATATATAGATATATATATGTATATACATATATATAAAAAGGAAAGTAATTTATTAATATTATAGTAACTTTAGTATTAATAAATAATCTGATGTATATATTTTATATATTTATATAATAAGGATACGTAACATGTTTTAAGTTACCTTTTTAATATTATGGTAACTTTAGTATAAATAAATAATCTGATGTATATATTTTATTTATTTAATGAGATATAGATAGATTATATACGTAACATGTTTTAAGTTACCTTTTAATATTATGGTAACTTTAGTATTAATAAATAATCTAATGTATATATTTTATTTAATTAATAATGATATACATAGATTATATACGTAACATATTTTAAATTACCTTTTTAATATTTTCATTTTTATTTTTTTTATTAAGTTGACTTGGATTAGGAAAAGGAATTGGGTTATTATTTAGCCTATAAATACACAACTATAGGTTGAAAAATGAGTGAAAATATATCACGTAATATATTCTAGAGAGAGAGTTAGAGAGAGAAGGAGAAAGAGGAAGGAAGGAGGAGAAAACCCTTTAGAGAGAAGATCAAGGAAGAAGAAGTTTAACTTTCAATCCGAAAGTTTAAGGCAAGTTCTTCTTCTATCTCTTTCCTTTTACTTCGTGTTTCTATACATGCCTAGGAAATTTCAGGATTTATTAAACACATAAAATTAAATAATTATGCATGTTTAATTGGATTAGAACATAGGTTTTATGAATTTGGTTCATATCTGTTCTTGTGTTTTGAATTGATAAATACATGATTTTGATTTGATTTCTTATGTGAATTTTTACATGTTTAAATTTTGTATTTTTCATATCTGTAGAATGATGGAACGTAGAAACATGCCTAGGATTCCTGAACATTAAATAGGGACTAGGTTTGGGTTTTAATAAATTTAAATAGACTCAATCATAATGATGCTTGCTATTTGAATGTTTTAAACAAACGAATGGATTTAATCTTTTAAAATATTTTAGCAATTGAGATTAAATGTGTAGGATGAATTGGATATAGAGAATCCTTATTTAACGGTATAATAAAATATCATCATGTATAAGATTCAGTTTGTGTAGGACATATGATATAGGAAGTTTAAAGAAATAATAAGTCATTCCTATTATGTGATAATTTGATATCATATTTATCATAGTTATTTATGGAATGTTTGATGTATTTCCTTAATTATTACATCAATTGTTGGATTGTGTGGTTTAATGCACCGGTATGGGACGGTGGCATTCTAGGGATGGATTAACTTATTAGTTAAGTCCTACCTATTTTATATAAGGGAATGGATTAACTAAAATGTTAAGTCCTACTTATATTCAAGTCAGGTCAGCTGAACAAGTTGAATGACTTATGGAGGATTAATTTATACTGGATAGGATGGTTACTAGATTATATATATATAAGTATGGTGCCATGATATGAGCTTGAGTCTCAGGATCAATGGTTAGGGCGCGTATATCGCCAGGGATGTGTAACTAGATATAGTGTAGTTATGTACCCTGGTAGGTTTAAGTACTCATGCCCACTATATGTGCGTTTTGCATGTTGCCTACTATTCAGTTTGAGACAACCCTATAGTCTAGTGAGGTTCCTTTAGTGTGTATATATATATATACGGACTACTAGTTACTGTTGGATTGACTAGGATGTATACGTGTATCGGATCTCTGCTTGGACTGTAGTAGAGTAGAACTTGTTTGTGAGCCTGACCCACCATTATTTTTCAGGTGTTCGTCACGAGTAGAGGTTATTCGTGCTGAGCAGGGATCAGTCTACTTCATTCTTCCGATGCTACATAAGAGTTCCTTTATGATTCAGTTTCCTGTTTTAGAATACTGTCATTTGTTTAGTTTGGATTTTCTAGGAGTCCACACAGTATGGATTCCCGAGTTGTATTTTGGAGGATCAGTTGTATCAGAAGAGTTTATTAATTAATGGAAATATATTATGAGGTTTATTATTAGATTATCATTTTAGTTTCTTGTCAGCATTTTATTTATTCTTCTTTATTCTTTTGTACTCTGTGTTCGTTTATTATCAATTTATTTTGATATCCTCGGGTATTCGGGCGTGGGCCTGGCCAACCCGCATTCGGAAATTCGGGGGTATCACAGTTGGTATCAGAGCACTCCAGGTTTAAGTGTCCTTAAGAGTGTCTTTCATTATGTGACTTCCGCGTTGCGTCTCTTAAAACTTAGAGCCCGTATTAGGATTCATTGTACTCTATTTACGGTTCGTTAGGAGGAACTGATGTCAATTGTATTCTGTAGGTACAGAATGGTTGGCACTAGGAAAAAGATGGGGTCCAAGGCGACAGCGATAAAGACCCAAAGGAGTAAAGGAGTGCGTTATTGATTTCATTGCCCGAAGGCAGAATCAGGGATCGAAGGTTTAAGTTCGTTTGGAGCTACTTTAAAGTATAAGCCAAGGAAAGATTTAGATGTGCATGATAGGTCACTGCATATCGGGGCCGACACGACTTTAGTTGATCTCAAAAAGGAGACAAGCGGGGATTAAGAGTCCAAAGAGGATCCTAATGGAGGAGATTTCAGCGTATCCAAGAGAGAGGGTACTACATCTGGAAGATGGATGATCGCGCGAGGGTGATCTTGTTTATTGGTTATATAGCTAATGTTATTTGTAGAATTGGTATTGATTAATCTACTATAATTAAACTGTCTTATCATCTCTAAAAGAGATATATAAGAAGTACTCTTCAGAAGATTGGGGATTTGATGGAATTCTTATCAGAACGAAACGTATGATTTTGTATCACATTCAGGAAGGTATTGGTATTATGTTGTGACGTTCTAATTCGCTTTAAAAAGTCAAGTTAAATAGTTTACATTCAATGTGTAGGGAGGATGAGGGTTAAGCCCTTAGTATTTGCTTAGGCAAACATATGTTACTTTTAAACTCTGTTTAAAAGATATGTTTCGAGGTTGGATGATTACCTACGAAATTATAAAAGGAAATTGTGAAACAATTTGGTAGTGTTGATTTCAAATGAGACTTTCTTTTCTAGAAAGAACGATGTCCTAAGTAGGAGTATATT